TAACTATGATTATGTTATTATAGCTATAACTATAACTATGTGTCTATTAACACACTGACAGCTGATGATTCTCTTGATAGCTGCTTATTCTGCGATTGAAACCTGCTTTAAAACTGTTAATTGATTCTGCATTTACCAACTCTGTTGAAGAAAAACTTTTCACAACATGCTTGCTTAGTAATTTCTTTAACATTTCTAAAGGAATGGCCTCTCATTTATTTTATTTTTAATTTTCTTTTGTAAATATTTTATTGTTGATACCATTGAAGAGTTTAAAAATTTGAATCTTATTTGTCAAGGTAATAAAGAGCTTTTAGATGATTCTCTAAAATGATTAGATTAATGATGGTATTGAGTTAAATAACTCTTTCCAATAAATTAATTTCAAAATCCTTTTAAATTTGTGACCAAATAGGTTCAGTAAACCCTAACAGTGATTGCACAAAAGATACTCAAAAAATCTCAGCAGTATGATTATACAAAGTGTGATCATACAGTCTAATATATAAATTGACTAAAGCATTTTGTAATCCTACCCAACATTTGATTTGTATTTTATTAGATTTTTCCATTTCAGATTATCCAAGAAGATTACTTTAAGATTCTGTTTAACATATTTTCATTGATTTGATTTTCATGAGGTGATTTTTTGTTTTTCCAGTCATAGTGCATGACTATAATTTTTCCAGTCATAGTGCATGACTATAATTTTAAAAGTATTCCATTTAAAGGCTTAATCAAAATCTGACTGCAAAAAATGTTAATGCACAGGAAGAATGTCAATGCACAGATAGAATGTTAATGCACAGGAAAGCATTTCATTCAATATATAGTTGTCATCTGCATACAGCTTGGTTATGTTTTTTAGGATTCCATTCAAATTGTTCATAAATAGCATGAACATGAGTGGACAAATTACTGACCCCTGTGACACTCTACTGGTGATTTCTGTCCAAAAAGATATTTTAGATTTAATTTCAACCAGCTTAGAGAATAGTAACCCAACTTTGCTTTTGAAAGCTATTTCAAGGTATTTGACACAAAGTTTTTGCTTATATATCATGAAAATCACATCAATGAAAAGTTAAACAGAATCTTAAAGTAATCTTCTTGGATAATCTGAAATTTTACTAGCACACTTATCTTTTTTTTTTTAAAAAAAAAGCTTTGATCCATTGAAGGTATTCCATAAGCTGTTGTTTAAGCAAAAACTTTGTGTCAAATACCCTGAAATAGCTTTCAAAAGCAACGTTGGTTTACTATTCTCTAAGCTGGTTGAAATAAAATCTAGCGTTTCAGCTAGATTTGTTGTGCATGAGTTATTTTTTTGTGCATATTTTATTTAGTTTACATATAATTATGCCTTCTATTATATTGACATGCAATTGAAAAAAATGTATTACATACAATGGAAGTGAGTGAATTGTTTTTACATGCAATTGAAAAGAGTACATTATTTTTACATACAACGAAAGTGAGTGTATTGTTTTTACATGCAATTGAAAAGAGTGTATTATTTTTACATACAATGGAAGTGAGTGTATTGTTTTTACATGCAATGGAAAAGAGTGTATTATTTTTACATACAACGGAAGTGAGTGTATTGTTTTTACATCTAATGGAAAAGAGTGTAAAACAATAAAGTGGTAGTTTCCTGTTAAAGTTGTTTCGATGTCAGTTTGCTATGTTGATGGCAGTTTGCTATTTTTAAACAACTATTTTAAAATATATGTTAATGGAATTGCAATAGCTGATGAACAATTCTTTAAAATAGCTTTTAAATTAGATTCAAGTTTTTTAATTTTAGAATCTTCATATTTTCAAATTTCATTTGCCATAATAAATGTTTTATTGGTTTATGTTACTTTTAATTTATATACTTTATTATTTTAATGTATTTTTACATATTTAGGAGATACTATGTGCAGAAATTTTCTTAGAAGGTTCTTCAACTCAGCGAACAGTTTTTAAAAATATATCAGGTGAAGAACAATCAATGTCTCATGTAGAGCAGTTTGTGTTAGACCATTATAAAGAAAAAGGTTTTCCTAATGGTCTTCATGGTGAAGGGAGTGTTGTTACAACATTGTTTCTTTTACTTTTTTGGGATATTATCTTCATGGATGTTGAGGATGCATTTCATAGTGATTTTCAAGTAAGTTGGTTTGAACTGGAGGATAGCAACTAGTAAAATTTTACAACATTTTTATTAGATTTTTTTTTTTTTTTTTTTTTTTGTCACAAAAGAAACTTTAGTTAAGCAGTTAAAACAAAAGTAATAAGAAATTAATTAAGTAAATTATAAAGATAATGTTAATAAGAAATTAAGTAAATAATAAAGATAATGTTAATAAGAAATTAAGTAAAGGAGTTTTAAATAGTTTAGCTAAAGTGTTTCAGTTGTTTAAAAACTACTAGAAAATGTTGTTTGTGAAAATTGATAGAAATGTTGTGCTTTGAAACTTGTATTTAATTATTTGAAACTTGTATTCAATTGTGCTAGCTAAGTAAAACTAGTAAAAACCGAGCAAGTTTAGTTGAAACAAATATATAAAAAAACTTTTATTAAAAACATTTTTGAAATGGATTATAAAGTAAAAAATAATCTTTTTCTAGGTACCCTTGGACTTTATATACATGCACAACTTAAAATATCTATTAAAGTCAATGACTGAAAATGTTAGTGGCGCCCTTTTAGTTTTTTAATATAACTATATTTCTGCTTTGTTGCAGTTTCAAAAAATATCTAAACAATTTCAAATCTTAATCATTTTCAGTCATTGGCTTTAGTAGTTATTTTAGGTTGTGTATGTTCACAAAGTCTAGAGAAAAAGATTTTTTTCTATTTTTTACATTTTAATTCATTTCAAAAATGTTGTTTTAAAAAAGTCTTTTTTATATATTTATTTTACTAAATTTTAAGTTAAGAGAATATTAAAACAAGTGGTAAAAAAAAAAAAAGCCTGAATGACAAGCCAGATAAAAAAGGTTTTATGGTTTGCATTTTAAGTTTTTTAACTTTTTTGTTTGTTTTTTAGTAATCATTTTTTTTACGTTTGTATACATTTAAATATGTATACATATCAGTGTTTCCACTACCCGGCAGAAAAAAATTATCCAGGTAATAGGTAATTTTAAATTTACTTGGCTATTACCTCCATTACTTATTATTATTATAGCATAAACAATAAGTTTGGTCATTTAAAATGTTAAAAAAAAAAAAACAAGTTAAAACAATCAATTTAGAAAGTTTTATAATTTTAGTTTTTAAATTTCTCTAAGGTTTTTATAGAAGTGTTAAACAAAAATTAAAATTAAAAGATGGGTGTTGTTACCCAATCGTGTTGTTACCCAAGGGTGTTGTTACCTAATCTATTTTGTGTGTTTGTGTTTGTGTAAAAAAAATTTTAAAATTTCAGACTTTGCACCAGCAGCTTTAAATTATCTTTTTCTTAAATCTTAAATTAAATCTCATTTATGGTATTATCTTCATGCTCTGTCTCTTGAATAATCGAACCAAATTCTTCTAATATATATTTTTTTCAGTTTTCAATGTGATCTACTGCAATGTAACTTCAAAATGGTAGTTCTTTTCGCTCTGTCAAAATTTTCCAGAAATTTTGAATTGTAGTTAAGGCAATTTATGAATTATTTTAATATTCGGAAAATTTGGAATTACTATGATTTTGCCAGCGTATTTTTTGTCCAAACATTTTTGATGCTTTAAATTTTTTTTGCTCAACTTTTTATAATGTTTAAAGGGATCCCCAACTGCCGAGACAAGTTGTGTTCATATTAAAGAAAATGTTTAAAAAAACATTTAGGCTAAATTTTTTTGATTGAAACTAAATAATGAATGCATACCAACAAAATTTTTTTTTCTTAACCTTTTATAATGTTTAAAGATACTTTTTTATTTTTATATTATTTTTAAAACTTTTTTTTACCCCTAATTGTGAATCTAAAGAACACAATTTTTAAGTCTTTCAATCGCTTAACAGCTTCAACTTAATTTTAATTTAAAATTTTTGAAAAAGTGTTTTAGTCTACTAAAAATCCTAGTTCAAATTATTTTAGTACATATTAACTGAATACAATTTTTAAAGCACAACATTTCTATCAATTTTCACAAAGTATGTTAGAATTCTGACCAAGAAAGTGGTTATAATTAAAAATTACCAATAAACGATCAGAACTGATCATATTATTAAACTATGAGGTTCATTTCACCTAAACAACATATTTATATGTTGTTCAAATTTGGACAAGCAATCGTTTTTTTAGGAAGGTTTAAAAAAAAAAAAAAGAATCTCCGGTCTGGGTTGTTTTGCTACAAACATTATTTTATGTTACAAAACTTATCATTTAAACTTTTTTCCTCTTTTCATAATTTACAGACCTGTTTATTTATAAATCACCTTACCTACACCAAGCACGCAGTTTTTTAATATCAAAGAATTATTGTAGATATGTCAAATCATATTTTCATATAGGTACCAGCGCTTGAAATTACGGCCAATCAACGATCAATGATCGGCTGTTTTTAGGGAAATTTTCAAAAATACAAGAAAAAATAACCTGTTTTTGTTTAAAAATTACATTTGATTGGCAAGCTTTGAAAAACTATTTCGAGCACTAAGGTACAACTGTTAAGGTACAACTGTTAAGGTACAACTGTTAAGGTACAACTGTTAAGGTACAACTGTTAGATTTTTTATAAAAGTCCATAAAAGCTGTAGTAGAATTTAGGAAATAGATTTAGTCAAAAAGGAAGCAATTAAAAAGTATAACAAAGGAAAAAAACTGACAGGTCAATAGTATTAAGGAATGAATTGCAATAAAAATTCTATGCAATCTTTTTTTTTTACCTTTAAAAAATTAAGATATCAAAGAAATTTAACAAATAATGATTTGTTCAATAAAAATTTTAAATTGCTACTATTCTCTAAGTTTTTATAAATTAAATAGGAATGTATTTATATAGAGTATTTATTTCCTTTACTAGTTTCGATGTTAAATTTCCTCTATTTCTTATTTCTGATTTTCAAGAGTGAGTTGATTAGGCAAGGACTTTACTGAGGTTCTTGTCAAATTTCTTGAGGAAACAATTTATCCTCATACAGATTTGTTTCATATTTTTCGATCACTAGTTTTTTGCATAGACCATTTTTTTTAGTATATTCTAAATATTTTCAATTGGGTTACATTTTTGGGTGTTTGATGGGATATTGCCACATAGTTTATAGAATTCTTTTTAAGGAATCATGTCACTGTTTTTACATAATGTGATGAAACCTGGTCAGACCAAAATAAGTATTGGTCATCATTATGTTTAATAAAAGGTACTAGGTTGCTTTTTGATGCAATGCTCTAAGTAAAGATTTTGGTTAACTGCAAGACCGCTGGGGACAAAGTATGAGTTTAACGTTGCTTGAGTAAAAATTTGAATATTATTTCCATTGATTGTGCTATAAAAAAACTAAACAAATATATTCTGGTTAATTTTTGCAGTTTTCCTCGTGACTTTAATATGGACTGTGATACATTCAAATTTGCGAGCAGTCTATTTTTGGGAAACTCCATTAAAATGATTAAACATGTTTACGAGGCGCCTTATATTTTTTTCATTAATTTTTCCATGCAACCCAACCACTTCCTTTAACCCTTTTATAATCACTCTTATATAATTCTTTTTTTGATATGGTTTTCTTGAAAATGTAAGACTAGAATTTTACAAAATTGAACGTTAATAATTTGAAATTAAGTAGTCTTCTTGGCCTCCTCTGGATTCTTATTATACATTTTAATCTTCTACGAGTAATCTTAGAGACTGATCTGCTACAAGTAATCTCAATTGAGATAAGTATTATTATTATTATTATTATTATTATTATTATTATTATTATTATTATTATTATTATTATTATTATTAGCAATTAATAAAATTATAAAATTACTATTAATAAAAAATGTTACAAAGCTTCACATCGGGAGGTGAATTTAACCATTAAAAAAAAAGAGTGCTAAAATTAAAAACTTAAAACCAAAAAAATTGTTTATGATCATAATATAAATAAAATGATTTTTGGTTATAAGTTTAAATTCATTAGCAGAAAGTTTTCTAAACAATTTAAAATGTAATAAGAATTTATTAGTGTTTATTATGTGTTAAAGAAAGTTTTAATGATGGTGTTAAAGATGGTGCAAGATTATATAGAAGGGTTAGAAAATTTCAATTGTTTGAAAAGTTTTAATGATAGTTTTATTTCTAATGTTAACTTATTTAAATTTTTATTCATGATAATTTATTTATATATATAAACTTTATTTTTAGTGTTCCCCACTGGATATGTATCGTGATTGTTTTTATTCAAACAGAAAGGATGCAATTGACAAAAAACTTAATTGGTTGCAGTCTTTACCAGACCCTGTAAGAGATTAAATTTTTAAAAATGTTTTCATACTTGTTTATAAAATTATTATAATATTACAAAATTAATATTTTGTTTCCTAGGAGTTGCGAAGTGCAGTCGAAATTTCATGGGATAAAAATTATGGAACAAATGCTGTTGGCGTAAAATGGGATATGTTTCAAAATGCTACTGATGCTGGTGTATGCTGTATTATTATTTTGATGCTAATATAATTTGCATGCGATAAAACATAAATTAAAAATTTATAGAAAGTAAACATAAATGGGTTGATTTTAGATTAAGTTATCTTAAATTTATTAAATAATAATAAAATTTAGGACCTTGCAGTGTGTCTTGGCTCAAAGCTTCTTTCTGGAATATCTGAGTTATTTTGCAAAGACTTTAGGCGTCGAAGAGGGGGGTTTCCAGATCTTGTTCTTTGGAATATAAAGACTAAAGGTTGTAAGGTATTTGTTATTATTATTGTTTCATAGGCTTTTTCATCAAAATTACTTTTTAACAATAATTTATTTGACCTGCATTAGAAAATGCTATAAAGGTTTTTTTTTTAATTGAAAATTCTTTAAATTATACCATATGAATGTGATCCAAAAAGGATTTGCATGCTGTGATTTGGTGGGCACAACTTGGCATTATTTTTATTTTTATCGTTAGATTGAAATAATTATTTTTGGTAAATATTACCAAAAATATTTTTGTCTTTCGTTTCTTAAGATAATTGAAGTGAAGGGACCAGGCGATAAACTTTCAACAAAACAACTTGTATGGCTGAACGTACTGACATATTTGGGCGCTGATGCATTTGTATGTTATGTTAAAGGTAATTTTTAAAAATTTAAAAGGTTTGTCGTTGCCCGAAATAATACTTTATTTGTTAAAACTTTGTTTGGTTAAGTTTATAAATTATTTAAAAAAGAGTATTCTAGAAATTATTTTAGAAGTATTTTTTTGTTCCAACTTTCCCCACTTTTATTCTTATTTAACATAGACGTTGGTCAATTTTATTTTCACCGAATTTAGTCAAGCTTTTGTTTTAGGCGGAGGTAAACGCAAACGAGAATGATGCTTTTCAAATTAAAAAAAAAACTACAAAAAAAAATTTTCAGTATTCAAATAGCATCGTTTGTACCTTATTGTTGGTATTGTTTGAACCTAATTGGTACCACTTACGAATCACAAAAATCTATAATGCATAACACTTGAAAATGTTTTAACGTATGTTGTATATATCATATGGAGAGCAGCGAGAATTCTTTTATTTTGTTAAGTCTTGTAACGGTATATGTAATAATGTACAGTTACTTTATAATATTTTTATCTTTTATAATCGTTCTGTATTTAAATTTTGCGTTTATTGCCTATAGATCATGCTTATAGATCATTTGTTGATCTTCTTTTTCTATCTTTTACTCGGGGGTAATACTAAATTAAAAAAATTAAACTAATTAATGTAAAAAAACTCTAAATAATTTTAAAAAATTAACTAATTAACACTAATAATAGTATAATAATCCAAATAGGGTTTACTCTAAAAGGATTAAACGAATCTAATAAACATTTACCTTTTTTAATAAATAATAAATTTGCAAAATTTAAAATTACAAACAATAAAGTAAATAAATTTTATATACTTTAATCTTTAAATCCCTTTATAAATTGATAAAACGAAAAATAGTAAGTATAAGTAACCATAGTAATAAGTAGTAAGTATAAGTAACCTTAAAAATAATATAAATTGATTATGTAAGGATCCAATTAGAATTCTAATTAAATATTACAACAAACTGATATAATTTGAGCAGAAACACAAGAAGTACAATTTTTGATTAAAAAAATGCATTTATTGCGCGGTTTTTTTTTAATCATAACTTTTTTATTCGATCGGTGCGAGGTTTTGCAAAATATGAAGCAAAGAGTACAGCGTCTATGAATTGCTTTTTTAATCAATCGTTTTTTGTTTATTCTTTAAGTTTTGATTATGAAATAAATTGACTATGAAATGAACGTTTTATAACAAAAGGCAACTCTAGATATGTCATCGAAGATTTATAGGTTATACATTTTATTTCATCGTTCATTAACGAACTGATTTGGTTATAAAAATATAATTATTTAATGTAGCACAAGTCAATATGGAATTGATATTCGTAAAATAAAATATTTGATCCAAATATCAAATCAGTGTACTATTAAAAACTATTTTTTTCCAAACACTTATATAAGTATTAACTTAAAAGTATTAGTCTTTCTTTTTCTTTTTTTAAACGGTAATTACACATTTGGTATTTTAAACTTTTACTTATAGAGATAATCTCTTATACCAGGGGTAAAGATTCAACCTTAAAATGTATATTTATCACAAGTTCGTAGGTAAAACAATTGTTACCTCTATCACTTTCATACCATCGCACAGTGATGCCTTAACTTCATTCCGGTATAAAATGCTTGAGGTTACACAATTGCAAAATACTTATTGTATTTGCAGTAAGTGATAAATAAAACTAACTTTTAAGTTTAGGAGGCAATCCAAATATTAAGACATTTTGATGAGTTTAGTGGAAATATATAAGAAATTTTGATGAGTTCAGTGAAAATTATTTATATGAATATTATAAGTAATATATTTACAGAAATGAAAAAAAAAAAATTTTAATTTCATTCAACTTCAAAACTTAGTAAAATTATTAGAAGATAATCGAATGGAATCAGCTGAATTATTACAACAGAACTACCCAAACGTTTTCAATCATTTTTTCATTAAAAATTACACCACCTACCAACTACAATAAAAGATTGAGTCAACATGCTGCTTATTAAATACAATTTTATGGAGTGCAATTATTTAGATGTAAACACTGCAGTATTGCTATTGATATCAATACCTGAGACAATTGCTAGTGTAGAATATATCCTTCAGTAAATTAAAGTTAATTAAAACATATTTAAGAAAAAACCATGTCTAAGGAACGTCTCAAAAGTTGTGCAATTTTAAGAGAATGAAAAAGCACAAACATTAGAATTAGTAGTAATTGCGTAATTTGAAAATATGGAGGCAAGAAAAATTCTTATTTTAGGTGTTGAATAAATGTTTCCCTCAAACATAATTTCAATGTTAATTCATTTTTATAATTATTTGGAGCAGAGATTTAAAGATACTTTTCTAACTTTTAAAATAAATAAAGTTTATAATCGTGTTTTATTAATAAGATATAAAATGCAACTTTAGCATATTTTATTTTACAGAGTTTTGCAAAGTTGTAAGTGCATGTTTGCGAAGTTATAAGTGCATGTTTGCAAATTTATAAGTGCATGTTTGCAAAGTAATAAGTGCGCGCTTGCAAAGTTATAAGTGCAAATACATTTTTTTGGAAATTATTTTTTTAGCTTTAATAATATTGCGCAAAATATTAAATTAAATTACAGCATAGCAATCAATAAGTGTTATTTTTTTGTTTGTTTTTGTTCTAAAAAGTGATTAGTTAGTGAAAATTCTTTACATTTTTACTTAATTTAGCATATTGTTATATATCAATAACTTTTCTAGATTAAACACTTTCATAATTTTTGAAAAATAGTATACATTATTTAATCATAATATTTTAAAAAAACATGCAAAAATATACATTATTAAAAAAAATAAACAAATCATTTTAAATATTTTAATTAGATAAATTCTTCTCTTCTTATTTCCTTTTTCAACCATCTTCTCATATTTATATAAAAGGCATTGCACTGTTGACTATAATTATTATCAGGTGATAAAATATATTCTAGAGTTTCTTTAACAGTCATATCAGGATTAGCATTTCTCGTGGATTTGAAATTGGATTTTAACATTGAAAAGAACTCTTCGATTGGGTTCGATTCAGGGGAGTATGGTACTAAAAACTTGTGAGTAATATTTTTTTCTCTTAGTAATTAAAGTACTGCAGCTGCTTTATGAAATTTTGCATTATCTAGGATAAGAATTTTATTTGGATTTACTGCAAAGAATGGTACTAGTTTGTTGTTGATGAAATCAATAAATGATTGTGTATTGTATGCGCCGCTTTTGTATTGGTAACATTTAACTCCTAAATTGGAAATTAAGCACATGAGGCTAACATTTTGTCCTTTATTTGCAGGAACTGTCAAGTACGCTTTTGTATCTTTTGGAGAATAGCCATATGAGCGCACTGTATGTTTATTGAATCCGGTTTCGTCTAAAAAATACAAATTTGAATCAGCAATTCTAGCAACTTCTGCCGCAAAATTTGATCTCTAATTTATTCTTTCCATGGTGTTTCTTTCTTGAGGAATGATTGCTAATCTTTTTCGTGTCAAATTTAATTTCTTTAATTTACGGGAAACAAACGAGATTGAAACGTTTTTACCATGTTGTTCTAAAATTTGCGTTTGAATTTCTTTTTGAACTACGGCGTTGTTACAGACCACGAAATTAAATATTATCTTGTCAATGTTTGTATTTATAGAATTTTTGATTTTATACGTTTCTTTTCTTTTTACTGTAGATGACGTGAAGGGTATATTATTACCACTATTTTTTATAACACGACCAACAGCATTTCGAGTTGAATTACAAGCGTTGGATATTTCCTTGATTGAATATTTTTCACAATTTCTCATTGAAATAATCGTATTTTTAATTTCTTCTGTAATTGTTTTCCGTACTTTTCTTTCCATTGATATTTAAAATATAAGAGTTAAAATTAATTTTATAAATGCACTTATAACTTTGCAAACGTGCACTTATAACTTTGCAAAACCCTGTAAATGTAATAAAAATATTCAGGGAAACGGGCTCTGTCACTTTTTTTGCGGGAGGGGGGAGGAGCAAATTATAGTTTCGACTCTGAATTTTAGATAAAAAGGGAACGTATTTAAAATTGTAATTTTTCTGTTTTTTAATTCGGGAAGAAAATTAAGGTAGTTTTCTACAAATTATAAGTTGTGTTTTACTTAAGACATAGGTTTTGATGTGTTATATTATGGTTTATCTTCCTCCGGCTAATATCCATATAGAGGCCACATACCAAGGCCCGTGAAGACAAGTTCAGCTCACTAAAGAGCATCGACGGTGAGTTTAAGAAGAACTCGCTTCGAGTGAGTTTAAGAAGAACGAAAATCGTAGAGTGAAAGTCAGAAGAAATCGAGTTAGAATGAATACGGACAGATATTACACTAGATGTTAGAATGTACATTAATCGGTTAACAATAGATCAATCGGTTGCAACTAATTAATGTATTTAATCGGTGTTGATGTGTGGTATTGTAGTTTATCCTCTTTCGGCTACACTAAAGAGCATCATAACCCGCTTCAACGGACCAAGAGTAATTGAGTTTAAAAAGAACGAAGAATATTAGAGTGACAAATAAAAGAAGTTTAGTTAGAAAGATAGAATATAGATAGCTGACAAATATTGTTGTGTTAGAATGTGCAGCTATACATATAATTGGTTACAACTAATCAATGAATTTGACGGTATTGATGCATGGGTTATCCTCTTCCGGCTAATTATTATATAGAGGCCACATACCCGGGCCTGCGAAAACAAGTTCAACTCTTTAAAGACCATCGTCAACCGCTTCGCTGACCCATAGTAAGTGATTTTAAAAAGAACGAAGTAAGTTAGAGTGAAAGTCAGAAGAAGTGGAGCTAGAAAGATAGAATAAAAAAAGCGGTCAGATATTGGACTGGATGTTAGAATGTGCAATTTATACTAATTTATACTATTAACTAGTTTAACTAATTAATGTATTTGTATAATCAGCTGATGACGTTTTTTTTTTTTTTTTACACTTTTTGCCGATAAAAAAAAATTTACAGTCGTAACTTATAAAAAAAATAATTACATGACCGGGGCTAGAAGAAGACAAATTTAGTCTTATCATTAAGCCCCAAAAAATGCGTCATTACTAGACAAAATATAGTTTGACAATAAAATATAGTTTCAATGTATATATCTCTGATTTATATTATAAAAGAAAATTTAAATATATCGCATATCGTTTAAAATTTATAGTTTTTCAAAGAATAAGATTTAACAATTGTTTTGTAAAATAAAAGAAACAAAATTTAATAAAATATTAAAATGACAAAAATAACATTTAAGACTTGGTTTGAAAAAATAAGAAGATATGATTTTATATAAAAACATTTTATTGGTAGAGCATTTTATAGTTTAACTTATTTAATTATATTTATAATACTTTTCATTGCCAATTAAGTAAAAGCAAATAAACAGTATAAAATAAAAGTAAAAGATTAATAAATAACGCAAAAATAAAAAATAAATTTCTCAAAAA